CGGCTGCTCATCTCACACTTTAACTCTTTCAGGTGGTTTCTACTTGGAAAACCTCTTTCCAAGTGCTGGTGACAAAGGCAGGCGTTTTCCTAATTATGCTGCAAATAGAGCTAGTTAAAAATTCAAATCAAAGGGCTTTTTAATTAAAGTGCGCTCCCAGGGATTAAAAGCCACACAAAGGCTAGTCGGTGAGGACCTGAAGGTTAAACTGTATCCTTTCACTGCCTCGGTTGGGAGAGGCACAAAAAGTAAACACATATCCACGCTGAGGGGTAAAATGGATGTTAAAACCTAAAATGGCTTGATGTTATTAGTCTAGTTGCAGTTATTATCTTAAACTCTGTCCTGATATTGTGACTTAATTATTTGCTGTGAGCAGTGCATCTCCTCATTTACTTAAAACTTGCTGTGAAGTTGGCTGCCTCTCCACAATAGCATTGATACTTGCTGAGGGCATGTTTGCTGTATCCAAAATTAATCTTTTTGGAGGCTCATGAAGTTTGTGCTGGGCTCTGATGAAAACCCTATGCAGCTGCGCATAAATCCTGCTATAACCTGTCACATGCTATTGTACCTGAACTCCAGGAAATATGCGGGCGCCGCATACCAGGGTGTTGCTGCACCTGAGGTGTGTTTGCTCGGCATGTTAACCAAGTATCAGGTCATTTATTATTGTTAACGTACCCGAGGTGTGTATTAACTGCATGCCCTGCTGAATATCCCCCAGGCAGGAGAGGTGACACTTCACTGTGCCTCAGGTGCAACAATATACAGCAAGGTGTGGGCTGTAGGTTCTCTAGCCTGGTTTATGGTTGCTGTTGCAGCACCCACACCAGTTCATTGTTGCTTTACTGGAGGAGTGTGTATGTGGAGCTAGGCCAGATGGTGTATTGTGCCTTCCCAAGGAGTCTAAGACTTTTCAGCTGCCAGGTAATGCATTATTGCTCCTGACATTCAAACCACTAATCCACTTTATATTGTTTCATTTGCAAGCTAAAGCTATGCCGCTGCCTGCTAGATAAAAATGCAAATGCACTGGCCAGGCTTTTCATTTTGGTGATGGGCTGTTATTTAGCACAGGGAAGAGTTTGCAGAGGAGAAAGGAGTTGGGCATTGTAGCTCGCACGCACTTTGTATGAGAGACAGTCTGACAGCCTTAGAGGAAGACTTGGAGTTGCACTAGGGATTCTGGAAGTTGCCTTTCACTTTTAAAACTGGTATCTGGTAGGTTATTGGTTTAGAACAGAACTGTGTCTGTTTTGAAAATATGTGTTAGCAAAATAGTCTCTTTTTTCAAGTATGTGGCTTGAATAGCACAGTAGTAGTTGTAAACAGGGTGGTGGGAGGTGGCTGGGAGACTGTAGCTTGTTTGTAGTTAGCCTTTCCTTTGTTTCTCCAAGCTGACTGTATTTTGATATTGATGAACCTTGAAGAGCAGCAAGTGGGTTCTGTTTAAGCATCTTTTTACATTAAAAAAAAAAAACAACTGAGGACAGTCTTTGTCAGCAGGTCCAGTTTGTGACACAAAGTCCAAAATACACATGCTGATTTTAATGGTTGGGGATTAAAGGCGTAGTTGTCTTTCTAGGATTTACTCTAGATCAGAGTTGTGTTTCTGACTCTGGTCTGTTCTGTTGGTCTTTGCTCAAGAGAAAGCTAGTGCTGGCTCAGCATGGGCTTGCTGCAGGTCAAAATGGAGAGCTAGGAAAGCTCTCAGGTCCTTCAGCTGGGAAAATCAAAGGGAGGCCATGGCTGGGGCTTGAGATGCGCTGCCAACTCTGGGAACCAGAGGCAGGAGTTGTTCGGTGCTCACCAGTCTGTTTCAGGCTGCAGTGGTCTTTGCTTTAGTCTTGTCTTGCTTTCCTGGGGAAAAATAATGGCTAAATATAGGGTTTTAAGGAAGACATATAAAGTGTAAAGAATTTAGTAATGTAATGAAAGCATAAAAGAGTTGAGATAACTGGTGTGCAATAAATTCCTGCCCATTTTTTAATAGAAATATGGTCAAGCTTATCTTCCTGGCTATCTCCTTTTAAGGTAGTGTTTTCAGAAGAACCAACCCCTAGATGTTAAACCTAACATTTCAAAAGTAATTATTTAGGAAGTGTGGAAGGATTCTGACAAAAAAGTGAACTGCTGGGACAGTGGACAAAGGCATTTCAGATGCTGTCTTTGGGGTATATGAAACTGAGGTTATAGCAAATGTGTTCAGCTTGAAAATACAATTAAACAGTCTGAAAATTGAATGCAAGTTTGAGCCTGAGGCTGTTAAACATGAAGCTGATTGTTTCACGGTCTCCTGCACAGGAAAGAGTATTGGCTTTGCACTCTATTTATCCTCTTCCCGGGGAAAAGATGAAAGCATTTTATATTCATACAGACAAATATTTGTCTATCTTTCAGATTCTGCCAGTCTCCCAAGGTCGGGGCTTGAACCCTGCCAGATAAAGTCAAAAACACCCCCCTCTTTTCCCAGCCATGCAAACTGCGGGATGAAGCTGGAAGCTGTGGTCGAGCAGCTGCAGAAGCAGCAGCAGAAGCAGCAAACGCCTCTGCAGATGGATTCCAGGGAGAGACAGCAGAGGCAGATGAGAGAAGCCCAGCTGCTCTACACTCAGCAGCTGGCTGTGCAGCAGGCTGTCCTAGCAGCTGCATCTGGCAGGGCTTCGGGAGGCTCTGCTGTTGGTCCCTTGGCCAGAGGCCCACCTGCAGCCGGAGCTACACGGGCTTTTGATCAGAGCAGCATGAATTCAGAGCCAGAAGAGGAAGAGGAGGATGAAGAGGAGGAGGAAGAAGATGAGGAGGAGGAGGAGGAAGAAGGAGGTTTGGAAGGTGGAGATCTTGAGGATGGCGCTGATGTGACTGGAAAAGAAACCTGCTCTGCTCTGAAATATTTTCATGCTCCCAAAGTTGCCCATCACAACCAAAGAGTGGCCTCTACCTCTAATCCTCTTCCAGCTTCGGGGCACCAGCGGGGACAGCAGGGCAAAGAAGAACAGGGTAAAGACACTACTAAGCAACCGTATTCCAGTTCCCCATCTGGACGCCAGAACTGGCGGTTGGATGAGCAGCTCAAACAGGTCAGTGTTAATGTTACTTCCTTCTGAATAAGAATGGCCATGTTCAGTCAGACTGAGGATTTCTCTAGCCCAGTGTCCTGTTACAAGCACTGGCTGTTTGCAAGTGCTTTGAAAAGAGTGCAAGAACCAGGCACATGCAGAGCAATGCTTCCCTGGTGTACTCTTCCAGGTTTATTCTTTTATAAAGAGATATCACAAGAACTTGATTTGCTTTACAGATACAGATTTCCAGCTAATGATGTAGAAACCCCTATCTGGAAGAACCTTTATGGAGAGGTAGAGGTTTGATCTTTGGCTCTTTTATCTTCTATCTCACTGCTGCTGTGCCATTCAGAATGGAACAGGCTGGTGTTATATTTATTTTTGGTACAGACACTTGCCTGCTAATGTCTCACTCAAGTTATTTCATGTACGACATCTATAACCCCTTTGTGTAAGAGCTCCAGGATGCAGCAACTTTGGCTGGATTTCTGGTTGGTGCTGTGGGCAGGCAGGGAAGAGTGCGTCTGCTGCCGCTGATCCTCTGAGTAAGCGGAGCCACTTTATATTTCATGTGCAGGAAGGAAAGAGCTAATTTGCTACTGCTTGGCTTTGATAGGAGGTTAATTCTATGTATGAATGAAGAATTACTACTTGTAGAGAAATGCCAGAGGATCGAGAATTCTTTTCTTTGTTTTAAGTGGGTATTTTAGGTAATATAGCACTTGTGTGCTGTTTTGTTAAAGAGCTAACTTGAGCAGACTTTCAAAAACATTACAGCATTTATGTGTATTGAAATTGAGCCAAAGGACTGCATGTTTTAAATAAAGAAAAAAAAAGTTGGACTTAATGGTCCTTTTCTACAGATGTTAGCCTGACTGTGAAGAGGGTTAGGTTTTGCTACAGATAGAGTTCTTTGAGCTAAGAAACCTTGTATGGACAAAAACAGAGCTGGTTTTTCCTTCCCTGCTGCAAAACCTATGAAGTAAAAAAGCTGGAGCTGCTTTGTGGTGGCTGGTGAACCATAGGTGTTTGGAAGTTTGCTGTGGGCTCTCAGGGCAGTCTCTCCCCTTGGCTGTCAGTTGCATGCACAAGGTGATTTGTTTTATGCTGCCATGGGCAGCAGTTTGAGGAGGAACTGCTAAAGCTCAGCAAGCTTTAGTTCTCCTATTCCATTTAGTGTGGCCTGTAGGCTCCTGCCCAGCTGCTCCTGCAAAACTGTACCAGTTTGGTGTTTCTACACTAATGCATGTGGCAGGTACTCCTCTAAATTGCCAGGTAAATGGTTTTTGTCACTATCTGTGCTATAAAGCATGCTGGTGAAGCAGCCCTGGTGCCTGGGATACAGCAGGCAACCAGTTGCTCCTGTGTTTTCTCTGCACTTGCTTCTCAAGAGGGATTGGGTTGAAAAAAAGTTACTTAAGCTGTTATAGGGAAGTGAGGTGGGTTTGTTGGTCAGGGGATGGTCACTAGAGAAATTGCTTCAGAATTTACTGGATTGGAGTGACTTGCAAAAACTTCCTCTTTCAGGTCTCTGGGTGGAGAATAGCAGGCAGGACTCTGGTGTTATTAGGGGGATCACTTTCTTAAAAAAAACAAACAAACAAACAAAAAAATCCAACGAACTTAGGATTAGTCTTCGGCTGTTTTTATTTCTAGCTTGGCCGGTGCTAAGAAGAATGTCATTGTGCTTCTTTCCAATACTTGCTTATCTTGTGAGAGTCCTGTGAATCTTACTGAATTAATAGGCTTGATTCCTAGGTCATTTGCCCTGTTCTGGGAAGACAAATGACCATAAGCATGCCAGATCTGGTCTTAGCAGATGTGGAATTGCAAAAAAAAAAAAGAGAAAAAACATACTGGTTTACAGTTGGTATACTGTGCACTAATACTGATCCAGTTACTTAGGCCCATTTCAGCAGTAATCAAGTATTTTGGTAGTAAGTTGCAGCTTAGTCTGATTTCAGGCCAACTTATTCTGGAAGCCAAAGTGCACAAAGCTTCACCAGGAAGCAAAACTAAAAGAAAAACCCTCTTGCTGCTGTGTTAATCTGTTTCACTGCAGGGAAGGCAGTACAGCAGTAAATAACAGAATTGGAGAAATTCATGGACATCGAGTTAAGTAATGGATTGTAAAGGAGTATCAGGGATGTGCTGTGCTACATCACTTATGGTGGGAAAGTATGGCAGAAAGTGGGCAGGTTTACATCTTGTCCTGAGATACTGTCTCCTGGTATTATCATTGAAGACGGAGTACTGGGCTAGATGGTCTGCCTGAGCAAGGCACAGCTTGTGTTCTTAATCGTGCTGGTGAACGATGTTATTAAGGTGCTGTGGGGTGCTCAAAAGGCCGTATTGAAGTGCCCAGTATTAGTGATGCTGGTGCGGTATATTCACCTTGAGTAGGGTAAATATTGCAGATCAACTTGTTTGCATTCACCAGTGGAGTCTGCATACCAGGGAGTAAAAATTTAACTGCAGTATACCAGTTCAGAGCTGGTGAGTGGGGGGGCTGTGTGGAGGTAGGAGTAAACTGGTGGGGGGGGAACATGACAGCAAAGGGGAAGGAACATGTGTGCAACTGTGGAGTGTCTGCATAATTCTGCCTAGTGCAAACACTCCTTGAATTTTTTCATTTCAAATGCATGCTTTAAAGATACTGGGCTTTTCCTTTTGTCTTTGTGTAAAATGGTTTTGATCCTGAAAAATCAGGATCAAATGCAGAAATGCCTGTGTTCTCCAGTTTTCTATATGATTCCTGAACTTGTCTTTTTTTTTTAGCTTCTTTTGAGATGGAGGCTAATAACCAGTCAGTACACACGGCTTCCAGCTAGCTCTGCTCTGGGAGTATTTGTGGTATGCATAATGGCTGTTGCTTGCGGAAGAGGGGGAAAAAGTCACTTCTATTTCTTCTTTCAAGTGTGGATTGTTCTTCTGAAAGTGATGTCCTTGGAGAAAAATGTATCTTGAAAGCATAATGCTAAGATTGCCTGGAAGGTATGTGGCATGAAGATGGCAGAAAGATGGAAACTACCAGCAAGATGAAGCCCTGTTCTGTTTGGTCCTGGACAGCCAAGTAAATAATTGTAGAACAAGCTGGCAGACAAAAGAGCTGGCTCAGCTTATGACACAGGGGCGGTGGGAATCCTGTCAGCACAAAACAACAAGGGAGTGGAGTTGCTTGTTGGGGAGTTGCAGCCCTGAAAGAAGAGCCAGGGGGGTGTGTGGTCAGCTCACTTGCTCCTTGGACTTGCTTGAATCCTGTGCAAATCCATCACGGCTCCGACAGCCGAAGGATCCCACAGCCATCCTCGAAAAGGGCGTTGTGGGCTGCCTGTCTTTGAAGAAAAACGAGCTTTTAATTCTGCGGGTGAAAATGTTGCTTTTAGCAGATGGTTGGGTGTGGGTCCTCCTCCCGTGGGTTCTTGCATTGCTTGGCGATGTCTCCGGTTACCGGGGAGAGCCATGTAGGAAAGGCAGGACCACAGCCACTGTCTTGCTGGTGCTGCTTGCTCCTTTTCCACTCGAGGCTGCACTAGCACGAGAAATTTTGTCAGGCTGTTACTACAGCACGCACATTAGTACGTGCATTCCTTTATGGAATGTAAAAATAAAGCCAAGGTTTTCAGGCATCAGCTGATACTTAATGCCTTCTTAAATGCAGCAAGGTAAGTCTCCATAAAACAGCTGTCTGACAGCAGTTTGTGGTCTGGGTTTTGGGGATGTCTCATGTTAGATTCTCAGAAATCACCAGTCACTCCTGAAAATCCTGACCTAAACTTTTACAAAGGTCATGGTGTTTATTAAGATAAGTCAGCTTAAAATAATTACTTTGCTTTTGCTCTAGGGTCTAGGAATGAGTGGCTGAGATTCCATAACCTTAAGTATGTGCCTCAAGTGCTGTGTGTATTGAGGTATTGCTCAGGAGATGCTCATTAATCCAGAGGGGGTGAAGGTCCCAGGAATGAAAAAGTTGCATTTCACATGGTGTGTTTTTTGCCTTCTAGTTATTTCAGATATCTAGGGCCCAATTCAAAGGCTGGATTTTAATTCCTTATGCGGATCACTGGGTATTTTTCTTTTTATGATATAGTGGGAGGGCAATTCTTCATTAATAGCTGATGGTAGATATTTGGTTTCTCTTTTACTGAAAGCTGTTTTCCATAAGAATGGATTTTAATTCTTAAATTGCCAATTGCTGCTTCTCCGAATTCATGGTTGAGGTTTGTTTGGATGAAGTCCTCATCCCTGTGACAGTCGGCTTCTGCTGTACCACCTAACTTGGAGTTTATGCTCATATGTAACTTAAAGTACAGCATCAATGGCTGGAGCAGAGCAGGATCTTGGTAACAAAGTCTCCTTTTTGTTTAATATAACAAATAATGTATGTGAGAAGAGAACCAAAAAACCATTTGTGATAATGACTGTAGGCAACAGCCTACAAACAACTTGTATTAGACATCAGAGAATTCCCTCATATCTTCATCTCAAGGGGCAATTCCTTAGGCTTCATCAAGGTTATGCTATATTGCAGTGACTGTGCTATATCTGGAGGCAGAGCAAAGGAGCAGAGCGAGGAGCTCGCGGGGAAGATATGGCTCATTTTAGGATTTGTTCAGGGGCTAAATTTATCTTTAGGAATAGTTGCAGCTTGTCTCCTTCAGTGCCAATTTATAGCAGTTCTAGCTAACACTGGAAGAACGGTAGGTGGAAAGAGCTCAAATGTGTTGTATTCTTACACTTCTGCTTTTGTCACTTAAGGGTAAATCTGACTCTCTCATGTGGCAGTGAATTTTTCTTCCCACAGCCATATAGCACTGAACAAATCTTCTTGTCACTTACATTTTAGGTAATTCCTTTGAGTATTTGTGAATAGGAGTCATTCACAAAGAGTCCAACTTTTCCTTAAGGATAAGGAAGCAGATTCCTCTTTTGCAAAGAATTGTGCTGGTGCTGCAGTTACTAGGTCATGGGAGCACATAAAAGAAACTTAAAAAAAGTAATTAATCTGTTAACTTCAGTCCATTCTTTTTCTTTCCTTCCTCATCCTCCCTGCCATTCCTGAAATCACTAAAATGTTTTCAAAACCCATCTTTGAAGTTTATAGATACTGAATTGAGTCTGTTATTAGTAAGACTGGGGAGGGTTTATTCCAATTTCAGCAGAGCTTTACCAGGCAGCTTGTGCATGCAGTAATTATAACTTGGTTCTCCATGCTTGAGAACTTGCAGCTCAGGGCAGTAGTCCTGATCTTATCAGCGTTTTGTAGTACAACAGTTTTCTTTATAATAGCATCTGTTTCACTTCCTAAGGCTTAACTCTACCCACAAAAGGAATTTCTGTGGATTCTCTGATAATCCTGAAATTGCTGCCCCTGTACCTTTTCATTGACTCAGTGCTTTCAGTTAACCCATGGGGTAGGGGAGGGGTTTTTTCACTGCAATATTTACCCTTGTCCCTAAGTGGATATTTCAGCAGATTTCTGGCCTAAAACCTTTGTCAAAACTGCAGGTCTGCAGTAAGGAGGTGCGGAGTGATTGAGCTTCATGCCAGAAGGTTTTTTTTTCCTCTTTTATGTATTAAAGCTTTAGTGAGTTCTCTCCAGTTCAGAGTTTGCCATTTGAATACAACTTTGTAGTCTGGTAAAACCTCATCGGGCTTTAGCTGAGCCCCTCTCAAACAGCTGTATGAAACTGGGGTGGGGGAGAAGGGAATGACCTGGAAAAGGAGCATTTCCAATTTCTCATCAGTGTCCCCATTTGCAGACTAACTGGAATTTGTGTGGGCAAAACTGGAGGAGGAGACAATGAGGTGCTGTTCTGTTTGCCATAATACTTCACTTTTTTTTTAATTGAGCACAGAGTTTTGATTAGTTCTTTAGTCTCTGGGAGGGACAGACATGCGAGATGGTAATATTTGAGAGGTAGGTGTCCTGCAGGTAGGGGTTGAAGCTACTTGTTTGTAAGGTTTTTGTCCTCAAAAGAATGGTCTGGACGAAGCAGGAAAGTGTTATCTCCTTTTCTGTCTGCTCGGCAACTCAGGGTTAACTCTGGCTTTTGAATGTGGGATTGGAAACCAAAATTGCTCTGGACATCTGAGCTTCCCTCTAATAAGATATTCCAGGTGGTTAGGGAGTAATCCTAAAATAGCTCCAGATATAATTGCTTCTGAAGCCAGGCCCTGCAGCCTCTCAGGGAGAGGGTGGTCGGGGGGGCTCTGATGGCCTCTGAGGTGTGCTGCAGCGCGGGGAAGGCTCCCTGGCTCTGCCAGCAGCTCGTGAAGGTGGCCAGCCTTTCCCAACACCTCTGCCTTCCCACTCATGCTCGGCATCAGGGTGCAAAGCACAGCCAGTGCTGCTTTTCTGCAATAAACCAGATAAATTCTTGCCTGTGGTAATACAAGGGCTGTTTGCCAAACATCAACAAATTCCCTTGATACAAACGGGTGGAGGGAGAGGCAGGACTCTCCCCAGAGGATGACCTGCCTCTCTGAACAGTGTTTTTTCCTTCCTGCTACTATTGCCTGACTTATACAAAGGTCTTTAATGACTTCTGAGGATATATTGATTTCTCAGGTTCCTGCTGTTTATACGGAGAAGGGCTTCTCAGCATAGGGTAACTTTGTTTTCCTAGGAGGAATAGAAAGGAAGCTTGATACCAAAGCTCCTGCTGAGCAACCTTGCTGTGCAAAATGTAGTTTATTCTACATATGGATCACCTCTTGCTTCAGTAGCTTTGTGGAGCTCTTTACAGATTTACCTGTTCCAGTTGTGCTCAGGTCTGTGCTCTGACTGCTGCTGATACTTGGTTTTTTTGGTTGTAGTCTTGGCACAGACCCAAAGGTTTTGGTGAGCGGAATAGTCCCTCAAGATCAAAGCTGAGGCCTGGGAAAGTGCCTGTTGGTGCTTGTACTCTGTTCTCTGGAAGGCTTTATTCCTCAGCTTCTGAGCTGACATTTCATGCTAGCCTGAGACTTTGCTAACTCCGCTACCCAACCAAACCTGTGCTCTGCCCTCATGTCTCCACAGCCCATGTGTCATTTCAGTGCACCCTTGCTGATTTACACTGTGGTGGCTGCTGCTTGCACCAAGGTGGATGAGAAGCACTCTCCTTATCTCTTCTGATAGCTTAATGTGGGGAGTGGTAACTGGCTTTAAACCTTTCCAGCTATTGCAGGAGGGAATGCTAATGCTGTCCACTGTCTCTCACCTCGGATCACTCTGTGTCATGCCAGGTGATAGCAATCTCTGCCAATTTTCTGGACATATGGCAAAACACTGATGGCTTCAGCTAGCTTTAAACCGCTTTTCACTAGCGAGGTGTGGGGGAGCATTACTTCTGTGCTCTTGAGCATCAGGATGTAGGTAGGGGAAGTAGGGTGCATATATTCTGCTTATTCTATGTATCAAACCTTAATCTTGTCATTCTTTTCTAATTACCCTTTTCCTTCAAATAGAACAAGTAAAATAACTTTGAGAGTGTCTTTAATCCCATGGGAAGTTTTGTTTCTGGAAGTTTTACCAAGTTTAAACCCACTGGCAGGAGAGAATTGTCTCCTTTAAGCCTTCTTCTCTTTCCTCTCCATGTTCTCAAATGTAGCGGAATAAGCGCTCAGCATGACCAAAGTTCCCTATGAAAGCAAGTGTTTTGCTTCTTGGAGCACTCAGTTTAATACCAGGAGCAGTTTTGCTCTCTGGATTTATAACTAAGTACAAACTTGAAGAAAGCAGCTCAGCCCTCTACAGATCATTTTGCCTTGAAGTGTGTAAAGTTGAGGATGGGAAATAGGTGCTGCCTTCTGAAGAGACTGTCTGTTATTCTGACTGTTTGTGTAAGTTTGTTGATCTCAGTTAACAATCAGTAGGGTTTTAGGAGCAGCTGGATGTTACTGTAATTAGCAAAAAAACTATGTTTTTAATCTCTGCTAGCAAAGGACACCCAGATGAATCCTCCTGTGAACAAAACCATTCTTCAGATCTCTTCCTAGAGAGGGCTGGGGATTGATCTTCTGTAATAAACAGCTGACATAACAGAAGTGGCAATAATCCCCCATTAAATATCTTTCAGTTGATGGGACTCACTGGATAATTGACTTTCCAGCAGGAATTACTGGCTCAAACTAAATCAGCAGGCATTAGGGCAGCTCGCTGCAGTGTTTTTTAAAGGGGGAAATGTAGCTTTGCCTTGACAAGAGCTATTCATCTTTCTAATTCAATGTATGTGTCACAACCAGATGACGCCAAGATTTCAGATATGCGACCACCTCTCTATTTGCATGCTTTTTTTTGTGCTGAAACCTCTTGCTATCTTCAGTGCTTTTCTATCTGTGTTAAGATGCTGTATGTTTATCAGGACAGGGTAGTCCAAGCTACCTTGGTGGGTGGATTTGGCTGTTCTCTTTCCTTGAGTGGCTGTGGAGCACTTCTTACACTGGAGCTTTATGAAGTTTATGGTTTAAAGATGCTTGAACAGTTTTTCAGAATCATTCTTCTGGTCTTGGTCCTGCCGTACAGCCAGAGGCTGCCTCTGCTGATTTCCAGCCCCGGTGATCATTTCAGGATTATATTTACCAAGTAGAATAGGCCTAACTAGAGTAATCCTTTTAATGCCTTAAGAAGAATGAACCTTAATCCAGCAAAGCTGAGCTTTCCATTTCTGTGGGGAAAATCCAGATCCTATAGCTGCCAGGAGTGAGGGTCCTGGGTTGGCAAGAAGTGTTCTAGTGCGATTATTTCCCTCTTTCTTTGGCATATTTTGGTTTTGTAGGCAAGCAAAGGGAAACCAGAAGGGCATTTCCAAGTGTGAAGGGGAGTAGTTGGGTGTCACCTGGCGAACAGAAAGGAAGGATACCTGGGTAACACCTGCACCTTTCACCAGGGGCTCTAGGATGTGCACTTGGTAAAAACGATGCTCATGGAGAGCAAAAGCAGCACCTCTGTATTTAGGTGTTGGACCTCATTACAGCAAAGCACCTGCTACAGCAGGGTTAGCATACTTCTGTTCAGCAGTCCAAGGAAGGTGGTTGTTGAAGGTGTTGAGGACTTTCCTCTAGAATGGTTTTCCCTGGTGTCAAGACAACTTTTTTGAGATACATTTATGCAGGAAAAATCTTAGAGCTGAAAAACTTCCCCTACCTTTAGTTGTTGCCTGGAAGGTGAAATACCACTTCCCATTTTGGGGTGAGTGTCAGATTCCAGGAAAGTGTACTGTGACAGATGCACAAACGTCCCCCATCTTTCTAGTCTTCTTGGTCTAAGCCAGCAGCTGCTTTTGCACGTGTTTGTGCCCAAAAATGCACATTCTCAAGCTTTCTGGAATTGTCTGCAAAGCCTTTCCTTGGCAATCCTTTCACCCTTTCATTTCACTCTCCCTAGAACGGCAATGTGACCTGGAGTGATGAAGGTGATGGATGCCGAGGAAGAGAAATTTCACGAGACTTTGCCAAGGTCAGTCTGATCATGGGGATTTTGGGGAAGGGGTAACTTTGGGGAGTTCTTCCCCTGATCTGTGACAGAGGGTGACTACTGAGCCCTCACTATTCCTCTATAGTGAATTTGTAAGAAAGCTGCTTTGTCCTGCAGCCCCCTGCCTACAAACCTGCTATTTTGTTGGGCTGTTTTGTTGCCTTTGGTCACTGGAATATAGTTTGAACTAAGTCTTAATAACCAGACTTTTGACATTTAAAATCTTAGTCAATACTTTCTCCAGCTGGGAGAAGAGCGTTTCATTTCTTGAACCTGATTAGCACTGTGCCCATGGATTTGAATGTGGCAGCTGTGTGTCACATCAGCCAGAGGAATTCATTTTAAACTAAGCTGGCTATTTCTGAAAAGGTGCAATAATTGCTTTGCAAATACACTCTGCTTCCCAGAGCTCAGTGTGTGAGAAAGCACAGAGCTTCACAGGAAATGAACCCAAAAAGCCCCTCTTCTTTTGGCCTAGATGAATACCAAATATTCACCTATACACATATTTCCCAGTGAATCTTTGCTTTTCTGTTGAGCTGCTCCACAAGAGTAGCTACAACCAGCGAAAAAATTCCTGGAGCTATGCAGAATTCTTCCTCAATGCAAACAAGAGAAGGAATTAAATTCTGCTTCATGTACAGCATTGTCTTCTGTCTTGTTCTATATCCTCCTGTATCTCAGTGAGAGACTGACTCTCAGCCTTTCAGCCTGTCACTTTGTGGCCTCACAGGATTCTTGATAGGTGAAAATTAGATTTTTTTTTTTTTTTGGTTCAAGAGGTAGTTGTAAGATGACACTCATGCCTGTCCCTTCTGAAAAATCAGCAGATAACGCTAGCATATAGTGCCTCTCCTTTGGAATAAGCTGCCTATGGAACTTTGTTTTAAATGCTTGGGGTTTTAAGCCTTTTGGTAAAATTATTTCTGCAGCAAACTGGTTCCAGGCTGGTTTCTGATATTTTTCAAGGCCCTTTTGCTTATTTTAGAGGAGCCTTTCCTGCCAGGCATTAGTAGTTACAGGAAAGCTCTATCCTTTCATCTCCTCCTTCAAGGCACTTGGAGTTTGTCACTTATGTGACAATCCCTGAAGGAGGGAATCATGAGGCTAGGAGAAGCTGCAGAAACGTTTACATCCCTGGTGTCTCAAAGGTACAGACTGCTAATCTGCCCTGGACCACTGTCACCTTCCTTTTGGTTGTCTCACCTTTCTTTCCAGCTTGCCTAAGTCGTTTCTCTCCCTTTTGCTTTCAGGTGGCTTCAAACCCTGCTCTGTAGCAGTGCTGTTAACTGAGTTGAATCCTGTTCCCTTCAGGGTGCCAGTCTGTACTGTGCCTGGATGAGTTACTGAGGGGCTGAGCAAGGCAAGCCATAATGAGGGTCTTCAAACTATCACTGCAGCCTTGTCCACCAAATTGCTTAGGAATCCTTCCTCATTTTGCCTCTTTGGCTGTGGTTGCCTTTCATTCCCCCAGGACAAACACCAGATCACCCACTGGAAGAAGCTACTATTATTACTATTCTATTTTCATCTGTCTCGTTGTGGATTGTGCCTTCATTTTTATTTTTTCCCTCAGCTCTATGAACTGGATAGTGACCCTGAACGGAAAGAGTTCCTGGATGACCTCTTCATCTTTATGCAGAAGAGGGGTGAGTGAGCATTTATTTGAACTTGATAAGGTAAAATGGGGCAGAGGGTTGCTGCTGCAGTTTGAATTCTTCCCTCCTGAGTTTGAAAGAACAAATACAGCCCTTGAACTTGCAGATCTGGTGAAAGAGCAGCAGTAAGACTTGAGATATTTACTTTGGGAGATACGGAGCTCAGTAGGAAAGAACTCCTCTGCCCTGTAACTTAATTTCACAGACACTATTTTTCTGCCCTCACTCCTACCTAGTACTCAAGTTGTCCATGCACTGAAGAGCCCAAGGACCCTGGTTCCCCAAGGATTTTTGAACAAGGCTGAGTACCACTGTGGATTATCTGGTATCCCCTTCAGGTGGCATGATCACACATCTTTTCATGTTTGATTTCAATAGCATGTGGAAGCTGACTGTGAATGCCTTCACAGTCTGCACAGAGTAGTGGCACGCAATCTGGGGACTGGGAAAATAGACACCAAGCCACACTTTCCTGTAGATTCACAATGTGTCAGCTTTCCGTGTAGTAATTTTGTGTAACTGAGCGCAGAAGCGCACAGTTTAGAAACGTTCTCACATTCCTCCCTGTGGTGTCAGCAGCTTGCATCTCTCCTTGCTACAGGAGTGATGATGCATGTGTGAAGTAGCTCAGCTGGGTTGTCACAAAAGTCTTTTTCTGTCCCCTAGTTATCAAAGTTCAGTTCCCTCATTGCAAACTATTCATAATAAAAATGTAAATATGTGTAATATTGTACAAAACATACATCTCTCTACATTTGTGGTAAGTCCTTTGTGGTGCTCTTTTCCTCTTCAAGCATGTCAGGCCAGACAGACTTTTCCAACAAAGATGCTTCTGGCAAAAAGTGTTAAATTGTGCTATACAGCTTTTCATTGTTTCCAGAAAAGTCTGCTGAAGGTAGGTGTGAAGAACAGACATAAAAAGGAGCCTTTGCTCCCTCATGGCATAATGCTCTCTGAGAGTGTGTTGGACCAAACAAGCCAGGTTGTGCTTATTTGGAAGGTGGGCTGCCTTAGTGTCACCAGCAATATTGTGCCCTGAGAGTCTAATAAAGTATAAATATACAACATCTCAGTCTCATATATGTGAAAATTATCCAGTTGCTGGGTTGGAGCTGGAGTCTCATTTCCAGTTGTCTTTTGAACCCTGCATCTTCAGATGCATCCCCCTCTGGATGACTAGATAACAAGCAGAGGAAAGGCTATCCAAAATGCAGCTATTGCAATTGCTCTTCATATCTGTGTCTGTCCTTCCTGGCATGGCTAGAGCTGACAGCTGACCTGTGTGAATTTTCACTCTCCAGTAGTCGGAGGTTATGCTTCCAAGCTGGTTAAAAATTAGAGCTGGGTTTTGCTGATATTTTTGGCTTTTGTGTGCAGAGGCATAACTGGGCTTAATTAGTTTACTTGCAAATGTTAACCTGAGCTCATGTTAATGTAAGGGCTGGGATGACTGACAGACAAGACAATAATCTGAAGGGTGTGATTGGCAGCAATAGAAACCTCCAGATACCTAGAGAGAAATCTGCTTAATACTACAGTGTCTCCTTCCTATTACCTTTTAATTATTTATAATTGACATGTTCCTGGTGCAGGGGCTGAGCTGGTCACCAGCTGGTTGCTGTAAGAGTTCAGCTTTTAATCATCTGGGCATTTCCAAGTGTATTTGTTTTCTGGAGACTCCCTTGTTTTCTAGCTTGCTAGAAGGCTGAAAATTAAATATAACAGCCCAGCACCCATGGGGGAGAGATGCCATGAACTGACAGCCCTCTGCCAGACGGGCTAGAAATGTTTGGCCCTGCTCTGGGGAACTGCCTAGATTGCAGGGTACAAGGCAGTTGTGAGCTTGCTTTATATTTGGGCACCCCGAAAAGAAATAGGCAGAAGGACTCTAGGCAGCTAAGTTTCTGCAGGTTGATAGAAGAACTGAGCAGCATATGTTGAGCTATAGGAGGCAGATTCTCTTTTGTTGTTAATCTGAGCTGCTGTGTCTTACTGCAAAGGGAATCTTTTGACTTGGCATGGTTTTTCAGAAGGTGTACTGTCCACTTTTCCCATGCCTGTTCTCCCCACTGCTATCTACAGCAGGACTTTGGTTTTCTAGTGAGCAGATAGACTTACTTGCCCACTGTGTCCTGTTCTGGGATCTTCAAAAATCTGGGACCTTCTACAGCAAAGTTACTGTAGGATACCATCCAGGCTTTCATTTCTCCTCCCCTTGCTTTATGTGCCAAATGAGCATCCTAAACCAAACAAGGCTGAACAGCTGTCTTGTTCTGAAAGAGTCCCCCAAAGATGGATACCACTGAGGGCTCATTGCACCTGACAGCAAAGTGCTGTGTTTCTTAGCTTGTATGTGTGAAAAGCTGGTTAATTTGCACCTTGTGTCTGAAGGGAATGGAAAGCAGCTCTGCTAATAAACATTGCTGATGTAAGGATGGGGATTTTGCTGTTGTCCAGGAGGAGCTGGAGAAGTGCTGGCCCTTGTTTGGGGCTGATGGATTTGGGGCACAGATTGCTAACTGATGCTGAACCAAAAAAAGCCTGATGTGAAAGATAAATGATGGATTTCACAGGAGCTACTGAGTAGTTGGAGGGATGAAAAGATTTGGTTGTTGGTGTTGCTGTTAGGAATGTACCTAGAAATGTGAAGCCATGAAACAGGCTTAATGCAGATCAAATGTGCAGGTCTCATCTGCCTCTGAGCACAGCAGGTTGTCACTGAATGACCACAGCTGCAAGTGATAAAATGGCCCTTCAGTGGCAATAATGATGGAAGAGGGAGATGAGAGGAAGGCTGTAACTCTTCCTTTGTTGGATGTTTTATTCCTTGTATGTGTTTAGATGAATGGGTCCAACCATGGCTGTGATTGAAGGGGCAGATGGGGAGAGGATGGGAGACCAGCCAATGAGAGCAATTAGTGTGCAGGACTAGCTTCAAACCAGGCCTGTGACCTGATGCAGCTTGGCGGGAACGATGCTAGCTTGCTGTATTACCACTTCCACCTTCCCCTTTCTCAGCTCTTCCACAGTCTCAAACCAAAGGTTGTCTTTCCTCAGACTGAGCAGGGATAAGCAGCTTCAGCAGTGGCTTCCCTCCATCTACATTGCTGATCTGGTGTCTTGTGACAAGCTGAGCCTTGATGTCTTGAGGTCTGTTTTCTCAGAAGCTGTATTTTTAACCTCCTGCTGCATGAGGAGCCACTCTATGGGCAAGTTTGTGGTTCAGGGCCATCTTTTAAGGGTACAGGCTGAGGCTTCTTTGCTAGTGTGCTGTGGAGTGGGATGCGTTGGAGGCATAGAGGCTGGATTTGTTCTGCCTGCCACTGAGGGCACTGCAGGCAGGAGCAGTTTGCTAAGGGCCCAGGCTAGAGCTGCATCCATTACAATAGCTCGAGGTAATCTTGTGTTCCCCCATCTTTTGTATTACTGAAAATAATTTTATTACACAAATGTATGTGGCCAGATGGGCAAGTTAATTTACTCACATCAGACTCAGAGATGACGACATCTTCCACTTCTTTTCAGGTCCTTCTCACGCTGTGAACATACCCTGAAGCTAAATTTTGTCTCCATCATTTTTGTGTGTGATAGAAGGCATAGGTATGATGAGCAGTAGAAAAATGTAGGTGTTAGCACTGTAGCATGTGCTAGGAAGCACAGCATGCTTTTTGTCCCCAGACAGTGAAGGACTGTTAGTGGCATGACTCTTATAGCCACCAAGGCAGCCACCAGTAATTGAGTTTATTGTATTCCAGTAGTGCTAGTCAGGAGAAAGTTGGAGTAGAGGGACTGTTTCGTCCTCTGGATGGATCAGCAGTGTTCGTGCAAGACAATTCCTCTTGAGAAAAGGTTTGATGGGGAAGAGATCTAACTGCATGCTATGGTGTATTAGGAAAGGCTCCCTTTCAAGGGAAGCTGTTTTGTTCATTTTAAGTACTGCCTTTGTGAAGACCTCATAAAACGTCTCCAATTGTACAGCTCTACTAATTTTGTTCAAGGTTTCTGCATGACCTTGGTTTTCCCAGATGGCTTGACCATTCTGGTTTTTATGTGTATATACATAGAAGGGGCTTTGTAAGTCTGACCGTGTGGTTTTAATGTTTTCCTGCTGTTGTATGCTCTGTCTGCACATTTTAGATGTGGAAATACAACAAATCCAGGGTATTGACAAAAGCATTTACTGATGGATTCGTTTATCTATAGGCAAAGTGGTGTTTATGAAATGTTTGTCCAGGGAATATGCTTCATTCTTCTACTGATTCAATTTTGCAGGTTTCTTCTTTTGATCCTCTGGAGATATTTTTGAATCTGAATTAAGCAATGTTAGTTCTCTGAGACATCAATAGACATAATTTCTCAGCATCCTTTGCTCATGCTACCTGCTTAATGCTGAGCCACAGCAAATGCTTCCATAAATAGCTGATGATGTTCTGCAGTGGAAAATTCTCACTCAAGGCACTGCAGAGGTCTCTTCTGGATGGTCCAAATCAACCAGGCAAAGTCCTATTCCCCATTAGACCCTCAAATTTGTACACAGCTAAATCTCTGCTTCCTGCACCTCCTTTAAAGAACTGCTTTGGTCAACTGTTCTGATTTAGAACAGGAAAAATGGTGACTAGTGTCATGTGCAAGTGGTAAGCAGTGGGAATCAGTGAAATATTGTAGGTTTTTACTTTTATATTGTTAGAAAGAATGGAAAGAATGACTTTTCCTTTCGTTGTAGAGGGAACTGGCATTCTGGTTTACATTCCTCTGTATTAAGTTGTTTGAGCCTTTCAGAACAGGGAACAGACTACTCCATGTACTTAAACACTTTTGTGATGCTAGGATAAAAACAGGTGCAAAGCAAAATGCTTGGGATCTTCAAACAATTTGAATCCAGCTCCTCTGGGGATGCATAGTCCTGTACCTGAGGTAGGGTTCTCTGTAGCATCCAGAAAACTTTTTCAGGGAATGTCTTGCTCATCAACCTTAGGTGCCAGGTGACTAAA